TTAATAATTTGATAACATTGTACGAGTAAATAAAAGAAACTGAAACTGTCCCGAGCCAATACCACCTTTTTTTCTTCTTCTTTTTGGCTCACAGAATGATCTAAGTCGTTTATATATTTATCAGCTAACGTTTACTGACATTATGCTCCAGTAGGCTAATTATTAGCATGGAAACTAAATCAAATATCATTGATTGTACCTTAATATCTTTTCAACCTTTCCATCATTTGGGTCAGCTGATGATTCTGCTCTGTTAACTATTGGATAAACAAATAATAGTCATAAGTAGAAAAGAAAAATGATATTTAGATATGAAAAGACAAAAATCCATTACTCCACATTTCGCAATGTGATTTATTGCTGGTGATCGTGGCCCAAGATAAAAATGCCGAATATTCATTAAAAAAAAAAAATTATGTATTCTTGTACATATTCGTCAACGACAACGGAAATCCATTAACCCAAGTTAAACACAAACTCTTGCTTCAACCTTTCTCACCGGGAACGGGTGTACCAGGCATGAGTACAAGCAACTGTACTGTACATAAATATCTCGAAATACCGTACGGGCATATCCGTCCTGAAAACACAAAGGCAATCCTTTAACCCAAGATCAAGCTAACGATTTGGTCTCGCTTTAACCTGCATAAAACATCGCATTTCCCGTCGCTGATGCTTAAGCTCGAATAACCAACAGGAAAAGAATTACCCCGTGATGGTGTACATCCACGGAGGCGCCTTCCTCACCGGGAACGCCAGCCGCTACAACCCCGAGCTCTTCCTGGACCAAGACATTGTCGTTGTTACGATTCAGTATCGTCTGGGAGTTCTTGGTAAGGGACGTTTTTGCCAGACATGTACTCTATGGTACAAGCATCCATCTGAAAATGGATAATTGAATATCTAACGAATAAAAAAATAGTCCTAAAAAAGTAATTATATTCAGTCATGATTATTACAAACAAGTTGTCCAAATCCACACATCGTCCTCACTCGCACAAAACCCTGAGCAGGATTCCTGTCGACGGAGGACGAGGCGCTGCCGGGCAACCTGGGCCTGATGGACCAGACGCTCGCTCTCCGCTGGGTACACGAGAACATCGCTCGCTTCGGGGGCGACGTGACGAGGGTCACCGTCGCCGGCTTGAGCGCCGGCGCTGCCTCGGCCCACATGCACCTGTTCAATCCCCACGCGAAAGGTGAGGCGTGGTTCCAGGCAGGAAGCACTGGCGCAAACGCAGCAGACGCCACCCGTGAGGCAGGATTTCTTTCTCGGATTCTTTCTCCCGCAGGACTGTTCTCGCGCGCCATTCTCATGTCGGGATCGGCGCTGTGCCCCTGGGCCCTGAGGAAGGGCCACAGAAAGGTCGCAATGGCAGTTGGCGAAACATTCAACTGCCAATCGGACCGTAAGGACGCAAGCGGCGTCGAGAGAAGCAAACTCTTGGTGGAATGCCTTCGTAAAGCTCCTCTCAAGGAGCTCGTTTCCTCCTTCATGGACTTCCAGGTAAGGAGGCAATATCTTTCAATATTTATAACTATATATGTGTGTGTGTGTCTGTGTGTGTGTGTGTGTGTCTGTGTGTGTGTGCGTGTGTGTGTGTGTGTGTGTGTGTGTGTGTGTGTGTGTGTGTGTGTGTGTGTGTGTGTGTGTACACGTACATGTCTATATACATGCTTATATATATGTGTGTGTGTGTGTGTGTGTTCGTATACATATACATATATACACATACATGTATACGTGTGTGTACTGTGAGTTACGAGTTGCCATTCACTATTCCAGAACTATGACCTATTTACTATATCATTATTAATTTGATTTGATGACAAAGGTGTGAAGCAGAGTGAGTACCAAAACCATACCTTGTGTAGTAGAGGCTAGAGTCCCTGTTAATCAGTGCAGTTATAATGCATGGCCTTCATATATATGTGTATCTCTTTGCCTTTCCTTAGATTTTGGAAACCACAGCATCTTGTTAGTCTTTTATGATGACGCCCTTTCGTGACGACACTGCAGGTGTGGAACAGCCTCCCGTGGGAGACGGTGCCCCGGGTGGACGGCGACTACCTGCCCGATCACCCGGCGCGCCTCCTCGCTCAGGGGCGCTTCCATGACGTCAGCATCGTCACCGGAGTCAACCTCCACGAAGGGCGACTCGTCACCCAAGGTAATGGGATGAGGCTTCGAGACGGCGGTCCTTGTTTTGGATAGATGAGGTAGAGATAGCTTAAAAGGGATTGCAGAAAGGGGGTGGATAACGAGAAAGTGAGGAGAGGCCAAGTCGAGGCTGACACTTCCTTTGGCCTAGGCCTAAGTCTTCCACTCCAGCAGTGCCACAGAATCTCTCTTTTTGCGTGAGAGGCTCACCGCCATCCATCCCTGGACCTCCTTGTGGGACTCGCCATGATGCCGGGCGTTCACCCTCGCGCCCTCAAGGGTTTCCGCAGCAAGACCGCTGTGTTTGTCCTGCCCGTCATCCCGGCTGCCCTGCTGATCGTCTGCCAAAGCTCAAAGTGCTCAGCGGCTGCCGTAAGTGGTAGAGACAGCACACATTAATCGAACTGCAACTTCTCTCAACAGGTATGTTCTCAAATCCGAAGGTGTTCCGAGCACTGGCGACCGACTTCGACTCTGTCGCGCCCAGCGTGGCGCTGCTCTTCCAGGAGGGCGACTACTGGCCGAGGAGCCTCTCCCGCCGCGCCTTCGAGTACTACCTCGGAGGCACCGAGATCAGCGCCAGCAGCCACGCCGACGAAGTGGCGCTCACGCAGGTGTGTACACTGCTCATTGTGACACATGTAAAAAAAGTATGAATGAGAGGGAACATGTTCATAGCACAAGTGACACATTTGGCCAGTTACCTGCGTCGGAAATATGTGTATCTGTGACCGAGATATACTCGAAACGTCGAACACGCCTCTTGTGCCATGAGTGTATTCATTCTCACTCATAGTTTTCTCTACAGGTGTGTGGATATGCATAAACATACATCATGCATACATACATACATAAACACACACTTGTTTCTTTCATTTCTCTCAGTTGTTCGGAGACCGCTTCTTCAAGATCCCGCACGATGACACGTGGAACCTCACGTGGCACCATCTTGGTCCCGGCCGCGTCTTCGCCTACGAGCTCATGCACAACAGGGGACAGGAGTGTGAGTCATGACAGGCGCCCGCCTGAGGCCCAGCTCATTGTTCATATACGTTCATTCAGTGGATATCCATAAGATAAATGTGTATAGATATTAAGAAGACTATACATGCATCTTTCTCTATAACATAATATTTAAAAATTAAATATATATGTGTATATATATATACATGTATATATATATATATATATATATATATATATATATATATATATATATATATATATATATATATGTATATATATATATATATATATATATATATATATATATATATACATATATATATATATATATATATATATATATATATATATATATATATATATATATATATATGTATATATATATATATATATATATATATATATATATATATATATATATATATATATATATATTCATATGTGTATATATAGTATATATGCACACACACACACACACATACACACACACATATGTATATATATATATATATATATATATATATATATATATATATATATATATATATATATATAGCTATTTATTTAATATATGAAAATTATATATATGTATGTATATATATACACATCTATCTACACACACACACACACACACATACACACACACACACACACACACACATATATATATATATATATATATATATATATATATATATATATATATATATATATATATCGGTCTGTCTGTCTGTCTGTCTGTCTGTCTGTCTGTCTGTCTGTCTGTCTCTCTGTCTCTCTCTCTGTCTCTCTGTCTCTCTCTCTCTCTCTCTCTCTCTCTCTCTCTCTCTCTCTCTCTCTCTATATATATATATATATATATATATATATATATATATATATGCAAGTACGTAATATATATACATACATACAAACTCCTGTACCTGTGAGTCTGTATTTGGCATAAGATATTAATCACTTTTTTCCCCGAAACATGAACGTAGTAGTCTGAAAACTCGGCGCATTTCGTTCCGTTGCAGGGGTTGTGCATCCGGCAATACTGCAGTACCTGTTCCCTTACCCCAACACCCCTCGTCTTAAGGGCGAGGACAGACAGCTCTCTGACACGTTGCTGAAACTGTGGGTGAATTTCGCATCAACGGGGTAGGTGCTGAGTTTATTAATTAACTGTAGAAAAGGTATGAATGAGTATCTTCACAATACAAGAGATGTATTTAACCGGTTTCGAATTATATCTTCGTCAGAAATACATACATCTCTTGTATTGTGAAGATACTCATTCTCATTCATACCTTTTCTACATTTGTCGACATGAATACGGTTCATTATTAAATAATGTTTTTTTTTTCTCTCATTCTCTCCTGTCATTATCATTCTTACTAACTTTGTTGTTATCTTCTGCGTGGATACTTTTGGCCGAAATGCTTTTATTATTTACACTATTTGGTTGTTTATTGTCGTTATTATTATTGTTATTATTATCATCACTATTGTTGTTATCATCATTATTATTATTATTATTATTATTGTTGTTGTTGTTATTATTATTACAATTATCATTATTACTTTTATTATATTTTTCATCATTATTATTATTATTATTATTATTATTATTGTTATTATTATTATTATCATCATCATCATCATCATCATCATCATCATCATCATCATCATCATCATCATCATCATCATCATCATCATCATCATCATCATCATCATCATCATCACCATCATCATCATTATTATTACTATAATTATTATTAACAATATAAGTATTCTTATCATCTTATTCTTATTATCATTAATAGTACTGTAATTATTATAACTATTATTGTTGATATTATCATTATTATTGTTATTATCATACTCGTCATATAATTACCATTATCATTACTGCTGTCGTGTTGTAATTATTTTATCATTATAATTAGCATTATTGTTTTCATTCTTATCATTATTACTATTATTATTATCATTATTATTATTTTTTTTATCATTATTATTGTTAATATTATTATCATTATTATTATCATTATTATTATTATCATCATTATTATCATTACTATTGTTATTAATATTATTATTATTATTATTATTACTATCATTATTATCATGATCAATATTACTATTATCATTATTATTATTATAGTATTAGTATTAGTATTTTTGTTATTATTTTTATAATAATAATAATGATAATTATTGTTATTATTATAAAAGATAAGAAATAGTAATAACAATATCAATAATGATATTAGAAATAATAGTAGAAGTAGTAGTATTAATAACAATGAAAATAATATTAACAATAATACTAATAACAATCATAATAACAGCAGCAAAAGCAACAACTTTAACAACAACAATTATAATGATAATAGTGGTAATGACAGTAATTATAATAGTAATAATAAAGCTAATGATAAGAATAATATAAATGATAATAATGATAATAATAATAATAATAATAATTGATATTAATGATGATGATGATGATAATTATGATAATGATAATAATAATGATGATGATGATGATGAGGATGATTTATTATGATGATGATGATGATGATGATGATGATGATAATGATAATGATAATAATAATAATAATAATAATAATAATAATAAATAAATAAATAATGATAACGACAAAAGTTATATCAGTATAAATTACAAATATAGTGAAAATCATCATCATCATAAGAACAATAAAAACTACTGCATCAACAATAAAAATAACCATATCAATGCTAAAGAGATTAATAATCATAATAATAAGACTTATAATGGTTAAGATAATAAAAAATACTGTAAAAATATGAATAAAAAGAACAAGAGTGGAAAGAAATGATTAATAGTAAATGATAATAAAAACATATAATGTTAGCATTATGTAAGTATATATAAGTGTGTGTGTTATTACGAAAACCAGGGACCCAACACCTGACTCCTCTCTGGGTTTCCGCTGGCCGTCCGTCAGCGCCTCCAGACAGGCCCACCTCAGCTTCACGCCCACGCCTGTTATGACGTCATCCTCTAGACTGAACGTAAGGGTTTATTTACATTTGTAAAGTATATCTGCTTATACATTTTACATGAATGAAATCTCAAGGGAGTGAAAGCTAATAAACGTTTGGCAATCTTCAGGAATGGTTGTTGTGGACTTCATTTCCAACCGAAGCGAACAGGTTCCTTCACCTCGACCGCATTCAAGAGTATGTGCGATCGCATGCCAGAGATACTGGATAAGGTGATATGTTTAAGCATGTGTGTATGTATGTATATCCTGTGCAAGTCAGGAGTTTTGCCGCGTAATATATCATAATAAAAAAGATACCATGTTGTTGTTGTTTTTTTCCTTTTCATTTTGGCCAAAACATCAACTTTTGGAGAAAATCATACAGCTGCTCATAAACAGGGAGTAAAAGATTATATAGAGATTTGATTTTTTAAAATAAAAGAGGTGGCAAAGGTGGTGTCCACCCGGAGTGATTGCCCGAGGTTAGTTAACCCAATGGTGCCGGGGAAAATGAACAAAAAATGGGGAAAATATTGTGCCCACTTTCTATGTTTTTCGTGAAATGTCTGCCGATAGATGGCTCTGCTAGCGCCTGATTTAAATGGCGGGAATAACGTATTTTTCACTAGTGCTATGAAAATCGATGATGTTATTTTTATCATAAACATTACAATTTTTATAATTTTTTTTAACATTAGTAACAGCAAAATAAGATTACGTAAAATATTTTGTAAATCAAAGAAACGAGTAAACGGGCGAGACGGGCGGTGCTCGTAACTGGCTCATTGGGGAGTTAGTACAAGTGTTGCCATCTATGCGTAAAAACAATCAAACAAGTACTCACTGTGGGCATAGCACGTACGTACACGTCATACCCGGCACTAAGGGGTTAAACCTCAGGTGGGCTGTCAGGGTGGGGGCTTGAAACGTCCGCTCTTTGCAACAGGACAATCGGTTACCACTACTGTTGAGGAAGCTGAAGCAGTTGAGAGTTGAGGTGGCTGCTCTCTCGGAAGTGAGAAGACCTGGCAGCGGCACAATTAGTGTGGGTGGCTACGCTTATTACTGCTCGGGCCGTAGCGATGGTCACCATCTCCAGGAAGTAGCCATGGTCATCTCCAGCAGACTTGAACCCTGGGTAGTAGGGGTGATTGAGACTGAAGTTTACATTTGGCTTCATGTCTCTTATTGCTATGTATGTTCCTACTGATGTGTATGAACTTGATGTGAAAGAGATGTTTTACGCCAAAATTACATCTGTGACACACAGTTGTCCTTGGCGAGATATTCATATTGTTCAGGATGACTTCAATACAGTATCTGGCTGTGATCGAGCTGGCTAAGAGATGTCTGTCGTTCGTCATGACTCAGGAGCTGATGCTGGCATTGAGAATAGCCTCCTTTTCTGGGACTTTGCTAGGTCCCAGAAACTGAGGTTTTCTGGCTTTTGGTATCTGATCCGCATCATTGGACTTGGTGTAGTGATATGGGTAACGTGGCCAAGGAGATCAATCACATCCTCGTTAGCACTCGCTGGCAGATCCTCCAGAACTGCAGGGTGTTGTGGCTACTCTCTGGGTTCACTTCAGAACCTCCCATCGTTCTAATAAATACTCAAGAGTGTTTTATGTGGAGGGAGGGGGAATGTGCTTGGGACTACCTCTGGTCGTTTCACAGCACTCGGGGGCCTGGTAGACCCTGGTCTTCCGTGGGACACCTTCAAGGGTGAAATGCTTGATGCAGCCCAAGAATTAATTGCCCAAGAGCAGGAGACACTGGAAGCCACAGATGCTTGTTGCATAGCTCAACTGTCAGGGGATCGAGACATGCATCGTTTCCTGGTGTGCAGGACTAGGTCACTGATGAGAAGAGATAAGGAACATTTTATCAGGAATCTTGCAGAGGAGGTCGAAAGACATTTCCTAGTAAATGACCTTCGTCCTGCCTACCAAGTCCTGAGAAAGCTGAACTGAGCTTAGCAAGTGGCCAAATAATCTCCGATCCTGTTGGGATGCAGGTGTGTTGGGCTGCGTATTTTGAGCAGTAGTACCAGGTTGATCCACCAACCATTAATTTGGATGTGGGTAGTGTTGAGATTCCTTTGCCAGACCACCCTTCAGTGAGGATCCAAGCTGAAGAGTGGTAAAGCAGCAGTTGTCTGCAGCATCCTAGCTGAACTGTTAAATGCTGGTGAAGAACCTATGGCAAGGGGCTTGCATGCTGTCCTGTCTGCTATCTGGCTTCGACTTCAAAAACGTGTTTGATATAGTGCATCGTGAATCACTCTGGAAGAGGTCTCCTGGACCAAGACCAAGATTCAGGACTTTGGGGGCCTGCTAGGAGACCAGTTCAGTTGGTATGTGCTTGCTGTGAGAACACCGAGGTCACATAGAGCTTTATTTACATTAGTAGTACAGTTCATGACTCTGGGCTGTCATAGCAGGAAGTCAGCAGACTGGTAGCAAGGGTTGTGAAATCTCTCAACAAGAGTGTTTGGAGGTGCCGATACCTGTGTAGAGGGACCAAACTACATGTCTTCTAGGCCTTGATACTGCCAGTTTTACTCTACGGTCGTAAAACCTGGACGCTATCTTGCCAAACAACCCATTAGTATCCCACCCAAAAATTGGTCTAGGGAAGCCCACAAACATATTAACAGTTTTAACCCTGTAAGTTCATCGCTCGAGAGGCTGTCGAAGCTGGAGGGATAAAACTTTCCTACATTCATATTGTATAAAAAACAATATATATATATATGTATATATATATATATATATATATATATATATATATATATATATATATATGTATATATATATATACACTAAAATATATGTATATATATTTCGATATGTATATTACGAAGCTGGTGGAATAAAACTTTCCTACAATATGTATAAAAAATATATATACTAATATATATGTATACATATTTAGATATATAGATATATGTATATATACACATATACATACACATACATATGTATATATGCATGTATATATGTATATAGATTTATATATACATATCTATCTATCTATCTATCTATTTATATATATATATATATATATATATATATATATATATATATATATATATATATATATATATACTGTATGTACCGTAATGGGT